AGAGAGAAGGGGAGGGGGGTGGGGGGAGGAGGGGCTGTCTTATAAGGACTGATTATGAACTTTATGTCTTGATCCCTTTGCAGTCGTGAAACGCAGTGTAATAGCCTACCAGTAGTTTAAAGTCCGAATAGCAACGGGGGACTATTCGGGCTCGAGTATGGACCTCGCTTACAGTACAACCGGTGATTGCGCACGCGCACTGGAATTTGCCTCTGAATAGCCTCCAGCGTCTGTTCGGACTCGAGTCCAAATGGACCAGTCTTTCCATAGTAAAATATCCATTCCTCATAAAATTTCATTCATTTGGTCCTGGCTCATCTACCATGAGATCAAATATCATCACAGTCCTGTCTCAGTTGGGTGCTCAGAAAAACAACGGTTAAAAAATGAGTGATTATAGTCTAGTTTTAATTCCAACCAAAGACTCTAGTACTACTATTATATTAGTATTATTAGGCCTAGATCTATCTTAATCTCAACCTTCCACCCCTGCCCCTAACTTTCAAAAGCCAATCACCATAGACCCCATTGTACAGTTAAAATGATGCTCCTGTGGGCCAAGCCAAGCTTTTTTAAAATATCAAAATTACACTCACAAAGTATTAAAACTTTTTAAATGAGTATTATTAACTAGGCTAGAATGAATGTTCACTACAGCTCAAGGTAATGTTGATTCACTGACTGTCAAAACTGGCCACAAACATTTTCAGTCTTTTGGTCCTGACTCGTCAACCAGGAGATCAAATATCATCAAAGTCCTGTCTCTGTTGTGTGCTCAGAAAAAACGGTTAAAAAGTGGGGGCATAATAATCTAGTTTTAATCCCAACGGAGTGTCTACGTACACGGTAACCGGGCACATAGTCTCAGTATCAATGTACACCGTAACCGGGCACCTAGTCTCACCCAGTCTCAGTATCTACGTACACGGTAACCGGGCACATAGTCTCAGTATCAATGTACACCGTAACCGGGCACCCAGTCTCATCCAGTCTCAGTATCTACGTACACGGTAACCGGAATGAAAATATATCAACACTGCTGAAAAACAAAGAAAGTCATACAATATACAAGCGTCTTATAGGGCTCGCCATCATGACCGGTCAGTGAACCTGTGCGGGCGCATCACATTGTATTGTGAGTACTGGTTGAGGTCACCAAAGTTCATTCAAAGTCTGTGCGCTGCGAAGTAAAGGGCTCCGGAATGTGGGGGGGGGGGGGGGGGGGGGGGGGGGATTAGTGATTTTTTTAAAGGTACAGCCAGGGGAGGGGTGGTGGGGATGAAGGCAACACTGGATGACAAAAACTGACATTGGAGTTCTGGACTGCCCGGTTACCATGTACGTGACAGAAAGACTACGTGCCCAGTTGCCGGTGACTGTGTACGTAGATATTGAGGCTACATGCCCGGTAACCGTGTACGTGACACTGAGACTACGTGCCCGGTTGCCGGTTACAGTGTACGTAGACACTGAGGCTAGGTGCCCGGTTACCGTGTACGTAGACACTTCGTAATCCCAAACAAAAGATTAGTACTAGAATCTAGATCTATAGGCCTAGTTAGGCCATATACTTATACTTATAGATCAAACAAAAGCAACATGATAACAACACTAGGCTATTACTAGAGTCTAACACTAGAATAGATCTTGATTCTAACACTAACAGTGAGGGCCAACATTTTTTTTAGCTGATGTTGAAAACATTCAGAATCCACATCATGTAAATATGAAGATGTCTATTCTAGTTCTACAATCTAGATCTAGATTATATCTAGATATTAGATCAAGACCTAGAAGAAATCAAAGCGAAATGAATTACATGCATGTCTTTTATTTTTTTAACCCACCTGCGTTGGTTCGTAACCGAGGCATACGTCTTTAATTCAAAACACACCAAGTTGGTAGTTCTAGATGTTCGTCCAATGAAATTATAGAGGAGATTGACCCACATAGACATGAGGAGCTCGAAAGGATAGTCAGGAAACAAGACTTCCATTTTTCTAAACAAAATCTTTCAAATGAGCTTGATTTTGTATGAAATGATACTACCTGATAAAAAATAAGCTTATATGTGGAGTGTCTACGTACACGGTAACCGGGCACCTAGTCTCAGTACCTACGTACACAGTAACCGGGCATCTAGTCTCACCTAGTCTCAGTATCTACATACATGGTACAGAATGAAAATAAATCAATATTTGTCCTGTGCTGTCACTTGCTGAAAAAAAAAGAAAGAAGAAAGTCATATATATATAAGCGTCTTGTCGGGCCCGCAATAGTGACCAGTCAGTGAACCTGCGCGTGTGCATCACTTTGTGAGTACCTGTTGGGGTCACCAAAGTTCATTCAAAGTCTGTGTGCTGCGAAGTAAAGGGCTCCAGAATGGGGGGGATTATAGATTTTTTTTTTAAAGGTACAGTCGGGGGAGGGGTGGGGATGAAGGCAACACCGGATGACAAATACTGAACATAAGAGTTCTGAACTGCCCGGTTACCCTGTATGTGACACTGAAACTACAAGCCCGGTTGCCGGTCACCGTGTACGTAGATATTGAGGCTACATGCCCGGTTACCGTGTACGTGACATTGAGACTACGTGCCCGGTTGCCGGTTACCGCGTACGTAGACACTCCGTATTTGATAATTTTGAATAGGGAGTGTATACAGACCCGGTAACCAGGAACAAAGTCACAAAGTATACAGACCCGATAGGGGAACTCTTTTGTGATTTAGGAAAGTTTCAGCGCCCTCTTGGCTCAGGGTAGACCCAGAGAGTATTTAATTATATTTAAGAGTCTCTGGTAGACCATAGATGTACACTACCACTACCAAGGCTCTTCTAGATCATCTATGGCCTTGGTCTAGATCTAGACAGACAAACAGACATGATAAATCATTGATCTAGTTTCGAGGCTAGCATAGTTCTAGATCTAAATGAAGATTGCAGATGTCTTTTCGATGAACGATCGTTTTTCCTCCGTTTTGTAGATGGAGGAATCACAATTTGAAGAAAAGAACAATGTCATAATTTCAATCTTGCAGTCACCCTCTCTATTTCTCTGCCGCCACCCCCCCCCCCCCCCCCCCTTCTCTCTCTCTCTCCCTCCCTCTCTCTCTCCCTCTCTCTCACACACACACATGCGCACACATTACCAGGTCTGGGCGCTGAAACTTTCCGAAATCACAAAAGAGTTCCCCTACCGGGTCTGTATATTTCATGACTTTGTTCCCAGTTACCGGGTCTGTATACACTTCGTTTTGAATACCATTGTGCGGGTACTTAAAGACCAATTTGAATGCAAATCATTCGGAAATGATCTATATTATCCCCTTTCGAACCCCAGGTCATTTATAACACCAAGAGCGTCTAGAAACGTTAAATTCGAATGGGCATAACTAGATCTAAATCTACTTGTAATCATGTCTTATCACAGCTTGTGAGAGGGGGTGTGTTTTGTTTGTTTTTGTAAAGTGTTTTATGGCGCTCGCAACTGCATACGTCATATGAGCGCGCGGGACACTCCTCTAATATTTTCAGTTGGTAGGAAATTTTGAATTTTGCCCGGGTGGCGGCCGAAGCCTACTCTTGTCGATTTTAGACCACCAAGGGATCTTTAACGTGCGCAACTTGCACACGGGCCCTCCGAGATTTTTCGCCCTTGTCCGAGAAGGCTAGGTGTATATCTTTCCTATCAGAAGATCGGGGGTGTGGCAGAAAGACAGCAGTTAGGAGGAACCAAGGAGTAGCAGTAGAAAGGCAGCAGAAAGAGTCAGGAGCCCAGAGGAGGGAGCAAAGGAGGTGAGGGGGTGGGGGCAGAAAGTGGAAATGAAAGCAGACAACAGAACATTGTTAGAGATCAGGAAAGGATGTGAAAGAAGACAATTTTAGAGAAGAAAATGTTTTGGTCGCTACCCGGAATTGAACCCGGGACCTTTGAATGAGAAGCCAACACCTTAACCTCAAGGCCACGAGAGTCCCAGGGTGTGTTTGTAACACTTTATAAATTAGAAAGCTATGAAAGACAAAGCGTTATTTTCATAGTCGATTAACACACTCCTACGGTATTCATGGCGAAAACACACATTTCCCAGTGCACGCGCTGTACACCAACAGTACACACTGAGTGAGTGACCCCGGCAGCCAGCCCGGAATATCCGCCGTAATCGGTTGCTGATAAGATTCGCATCCCAACACAGACGCAGGACAAGAGTTAACATGCATACAGTACAAAACTGATTACAAGTTAGTAGCAAGTAACCCCAAACAATGACAGAAACTAGCAGAAAGTGGAGAAAGTCTCTGAAAGTGCTTGCTTCACAGTTTCAGTTTTGACAGGTCTAGAATCTAGACATCGAGAAAGACGGAAATTGAAATCCAGTGAGGATAAAACTTTGGAGTACATAACCTATGAACTATTCTGTGGCTACTTGGGAGTTACTTTTAACTAACTAGATACCTTAGCATTTCTCAGTACATTTTGTGATCCACCTCCACTGTTTTGCTTGTCTTTGTCCTTCTTCTTCTTCTCTTTTTTCGCAACAGCTTTCGTCGAACCGTCATCCACGTCGCCTCCCGCAGACGCTACTTTAGTTTTCGTTTTCTTTTTACTTTTGTCTTTCTTGGCAAAAAAGTCATCAAGGCTTGAATCTGCCATGGTTCAGCTGTGGGTGATTCACTAGTGTACAGCTAAACAATAAGGAGAGAGTTGTCAGAAGAGTGAAGAAGTATCACTCTATCCTCCATGCGCAATACAAGAGCATGGGAGATAACTTTGTACACCGGAACAACAGTTTGGAGGATACGTAAAAAGTGGAACTGCAAAAAGAACCAGAAAAAAACGTAGCCTCCATTAATTTTTATTTTTTTTTGGTAAGTGTTTTACGGTGCTCGGAACTGCATAAGGTCATATGAGTGCGCGGGACACATTGAACATTTTCAGTTTGTGGGAAATTTTGAATTTTGTTCGGACGGTGGCCGAAGCCTACTCTAATCGATTTTAGACCATCAATGGATCTTTAACGTGCGCGACCTGCATACGGGACCTCCGAGATATTTTGCCCTTGTCGGAGAAGGCTAGGTGTAGAACTTTCCTTTCAAAAGATCAGGAGTGTGGTTGAAAGGCATCAGAAAGAGGGAGCCAAGGAGTAACAGATAGCAGAAGCAAAAAGCCAGAAGCCCACAGGAAGGGGCAAAGGAAGTGAGAGGTGGAGGCAGAAATTGTGGAGGCGAAAGCAGACATTGCCAGAGAGCAGGAAAAGAAGTGAAAGGAGACAATTTTAGACAAGAAAATGTTTCGGTCGCTATCCGGATTCGAACCTGGGACCTTTGAATGAGAGGCGAACACCTTAACCTCTAGGCCACGAGAGCCCCCACGTACGTGACCTACGTTAGAACGACGCTAATGTGTGTGTGTGTGTGTGTGTGTGTGTGTGTGTGTGTGTGTGTGTGTCATGTGTGAATGTGTGTGTGTGTGTGTGTGTGTGTGTGTGTGTGTGAGTCATGTGTGTGTGTGTGTGTGAGTCATGTGTGCGTGTGTGTGTGTGTGAGTATCAATGAAAGAGGCCTGAGGCAGAAGGACACGGAGGAGGTATGTGTGTGTATTGTGTGCGTATAGGGCCTATATTAGAGAGAAAGAGAGAGAAAAGAGAGAGAGAGAGAGAGAGAGAGAGAGAGAGAGAGAGAGAGAGAGAGAGAGAGAGAGAGAGAGAGAGAGAGAGATTTCATCCTTATCCGAGAAGGCTTGTTGTTCGATCTTCCCTACCCAAAGTTCAGGGAGTGGCTGAAGACAACACTCAGTAATAAGTAGCCAGGAGAAGCAGTACAGGTATTATTATGCAGAAAGACAGCAGTAAGACGGAACCAGGAGAAGCAGTACAGACTTCAACAAAAGTTTAGGACCACCTTGAAGGACAGTCCTAATTTTTAAAGAATATCCGAAAAAAAGACAGCAAGGAATGTTTCAAAATTTTAGCTCTGAAAGTGTTAATGGGTTACCAACGCGTACTGTGGCGTCGGTGGCGTCGGTGGCTTAGTGGTTAGGCTCTCGGACTCGCAACCGTTAGGTCGTGGGTTCGAATCCCGTCAGGGGCCCGACGTTGTGTCCTTGGGAAAGGCACTTTGCACAAATTTTCCTCACTTCACCCAGGTGGAAATGGGTACCCGGCTATAGACAGTGAACGATCTTGTCAGTTTGATAATGTTTGAGCGTGTGAAATCCGCAGCTTGCACTGTTTGCTTCCGCGGAAGCCGAGTATGTTTCTGAGTGTTCTCAGAGGGTCTGCTGGGGTAATAATAGTTGTAAAGCGCATAAAGCAAGTTCTTGAGCATGGATATGTGCTATATAAATACAATTATTATTATTATTACTGCAGAGCCCCCTAAAGGACCAAAACCATCACATGCAGCCCGGAAATCCTCCTGGAATTTTAGCCAAATTTGCTGTTTTTTATCGACTTGTGTGCGAGACCAAGGACTTTCCTCACTTAAAATTTCTGATGCACGTCATAAACGGACGTACGGTCTCGAACAGTGCTGACTTTGGTGGCAATATAAGCCACCGTTTGCGCAAAACCCGGTATCGCATCAACATACCACCACGACGAAAGCTGAGAGACTTTGGTCGTGCCAGAGCTATGGCATGGCTGGAGGATGGAGTTGGAGCCCGAGAAGTTTCCAGAAGGCTTGGAGTGTCACACCCTGTCATTGTCAGCTTGAGGCAGCGCCATCAAGCCTCTGGATCAGTCCAAAAAAACAAAAAACCGCCCACGTGAGGTCGACCAAAGAAGACCACTCAGGGTGTTTGCAAATGGTCCCTAACTTCTGTTGAAGTCTGTATAATATGTAGAAAGACAGCCACAAGAAGGAGCCAATCGAGAAGCAGTAGCAGCAAGGAGCTTAGAACTAACTGTAAACTCCTTGAGTAGCAGTCATTATATTATAGGAAGTCAACAGTAAGAAAGAGCCAATCGAGAAGCAGTAGCAGTACATATTATAGAAAGACAGCAGTAAGAAAGATACACTCGAAAAGCAGTAGAAGAGTCAAGGAGAGAGGAGCCTGGAGGCCGGGGAGAGGGGGGGGGGCGTGAAAATAGAGATGAAAGCAGATTCTTATGACCAAACACGACTAGAGGTCCGGACAGGAGGTGAAAGTAGAACATTTTAGAGAAGAAAATGTTTCCGTCACTGTCAGGTATCAAACCGGGGGCCTATTGGATGAGAGGCAAACATCGTTTGTTGTTGAGAGAAAATGGAGTAGCCAAGAAGGCGTAACTACCCACCAGCACCACGAGCATAATATTATTTTTATGTCTCATTTGCGGAAAGGTGCCAGGCATGTGCAGCAGCAGCTGAGCAGCAGGGGTCCATGGTAGATGAGGTGTTGTGTAGCCAAACGTGCCATTGCCAATCGAGCATGGCGTGGGACTTAATTGCTTATCGAAGACCTAATTTTGGTCTTTGCACTGCCAACTTTTATGTTGGGGGTCAGCTCTATCTATGTTCCCTCAGCGCGCTCTCTCTCTCTCACGTCATTTTTATTATAACTCACACTTGACCACTCTGACAATAAGTTGACCTCTGGTCATCATTTAACTTGAAATGAGGAAACATAGAGCTGAGGGAACATAGAGCAGTTTGTTAGGAGAATTAACTCTATGTCCCCTCTGCTCTATGTTCCTTTTTTTAAAAAGCTTTAGTAGAGGTTTTACGACGCTCGCAACTGCATAAGGCCATATGAGCGCCAAGGCGTGGATGTCAACCATAGAGGTACGCCCTTTTAAACCTACAGTGTACATCTATGACGTCAACAGAGAAGTCCATACAGGGAATCAGACTTACTCTGCTCACCTCTCTAGCTTCAACAGCAGAAAGTCTGGTTCGACTATCAAGGCAGCCCGGAAATAGTGGGTCACAAGAGTGTGACAAACATACAAAAGAAGTAGAGGAAAATGACAATAGTAAGGGTTAAGAAAGAAAAGGTAGCAGTTCCCTGTTGTAGATCAGGCACAGTAATGAGCATGACATTGATGAATCAGCCCATTTACAATTTTACTGTGCATGAACGAGAAATGCCCCCCCCCTCCTTGGGAATGGCCTAAAGACACTTCAGTCAGAGGCACCGCCCCTGGGGGTAAAGAGGGAGGGGTGCTAAAGACGATAGATGTTTGCTAGTAAAGAAGAAGGAAGCAAACCATATTAGAGCACCCATAAACCCCCCACTACAAGAGAATAACAAACACAAAAAAGAAGGAGGGGAGATAAAAAAGACGATAGGCCCTAGATGTTTTTAAAAAGTTTTAGTAAGAGTTTTACGGCGCTTGCAACATAATAAGGTCATATAAATGCCGAAGATTAGAGGTGTTACAAAAGAGTAACAAACATAAAAAAGAAGGAGAGGAGATAAAGACGATAGGTGAAGATGTTTGACAGTAAAGAAGAAGGAAGCAAATCACACCAGAGCACCCACCAACCACCCACCCAGTACATATGTACCGTGCTGTAAATGACCAGACTCCACAAGCCGTGAGTGTGAGGGATACATGAGTTTATTTAGGTTACTTTCTCATACAAAAAAACCACACCGGACCCACACAGACCTGTACAGCAATAAGACCATACCTCCTGCTTTTTTCTTTCATAGGTGAAATTTCTTTATAAAAATGTAGATGGTTTTATTGACGCCCTCATCAACACAACTTATTTCGATCATATTTAGGAGGCGGGCTTACAACCCTGCCTATATCACTATCATGACGGCCAACCTGGGCTACTGAGAGGGATACAACGTCCCAGCAGAACGACCGACATACTTGATAAAAATATCTCCGAAATCAGAACTTGGGTCTCCTGCATGTAACAGCAAAGTGTCTAACCACAATACAATGTACTGTAGACGTTGCTTTTCATGGGTAGCTCCTGGTTTCATCTTTTAAGTGGGGAGTGTGTGTGTGTGGTGTGTGCGTGTGTATGTGTGTGGGGGGGGGGGGTGTGTGTGTGTGTGTGTGTGTGTGTGGGGGGGGGGGGGGGGGAGTTTATATCATACCTCGACATAAAACTGAATTACAATGTTTATTTTTACTGTTTTACACCCCAACCGACACAATTTAGGTCAGTTATTTATAGAAGAGGGCTTCTTGCATCCTGCTTGTCAGGGCCACACCAATGGAAGATGACATCACAGCAGACGGACGGAAACACTCCGACACAGAACTTCCCTACTTGGGAATTGAACCCACGACCTCTGCATGCTTGGCAAGAATCCTGACCCCAACACCACAAACGCTGGAGAACAGCCACGCTATCATGATTAGAAAAAGGTCCAATTTCTTTTTTTAAAAACCCGATAAAATTGTGGTTACCTTTCCTTGCTAATATACAGCGACTAGGACCTGCACATCAATTTTCTTGTGTGTATATAATATCTATATAAACATATATATATATATATATGAGTATGCTAATCAAGACTTTACAAAAATTACCAACACACTTCGTCCCAATTGTCTGCAAAAAGACAATGGTGAAACAGCTTTCCAGTACATCTCACGCATATTATATATATATGTTAATTCCAACATATTGACAGTCATTTCTAACCTAGGTCACTTTTTATTTTCACCAAATGTTTTACTTCATTTTCCACCAGAGTCACTGGTGTGTACTAAACATCAAAGCCCACTGCAAAAATTCCACACATTCGTTTTTTTTAAAATGTTAATAATAAAACTGACGAGAGAAGGATTTCAGCTAAGTCTGGTTACAAAAGAACAAAAGGTGTCATCAACAGACCCCAGGTGCAAGTGTAGCTACGGTGCAGCATTACTTAAGCACAGCGACGGTGCTGCAGTACTTGCCAGCAGACATCTAGAAAAAAGCCATACCCCCCCCCCCCCAACAAAGCTGTTCAAATGCACAAAACACAAAATTTTGAATTTTTTCCTTGCAGTTTCTTAAATTAATCTGTGGAGCTGGTTGCACATGCTCCAGAAATATTTTCTTGAAATACAAATTCTACATGTTGAAAAAAAGCAAGAAAAGATACACAATGTAGAGAGCTATAATTGTTAAAAGAATGAAACCGTTTTTTTTCTTTCATTCTCTCCTGTACAATTTTGCTTTCTGGGTTGAGTACATCTGAACAGCATGATGCAGTGATCTGTTGGTGACATAAAGTAAACTCGTGACTAAGGAAAAAACACGAGCCACACCCAGCACTTGTACATATAATACGAGCCACGCCTAATTGTTGAGCTTGTACATACGAGCCACACCTACTGGCAGTTTGTACAAGGCCCACCCAGCGCTTGTTGCACATACACATACGTTGCGGACACAAAGTGAATCTGTTGTTGAGAAAAAAAACAACCCCCAACCCCTCCCAGCAGCCTCATTGCCGTTACTTAGCACAACAATTTGAAAAGCTGAGAGAAGAGGAATCACTTTCCTAGTCAAAACACAGGGTTCCTGCCACGAACTCCCCCTAAATACAAGGAGATATCATTGCAAGGAGGTTTCAAGGATAAATTTTTAAAATTCAAGGAGATCTGGTCAAGAAATTCAAGCCGTTTTCGGCGGCGTGCCAAGAGCAATCCGACAAAAATTTTATACAGGTCTGGTCCGGTGAAACTCAAGGAGTTTTCAAGCAGATTTTTTCCTTGAAAGAAAATTCAACAAGGAGTTTTCAAGGACTCCTTGAATTCAAGGAGGTCGCCGGAACCCTGAAAGCAGATCTATGTTAATTCTTCTTTTAGATGTCTGTGTTTTTATGACCCCATCGACCCGACATTTAGATCATTTAAGAGGCTCGCTTTTGGCCCTGCCTGCCAGGGACAACCTGGGCTGAGAGGGATACAACATCCCAGCAAAACGACAGAAATACTTGAAAAAATTTTTCTCTCAACATCTTGGAATTGAACTCTCGTCCAGTGTTTGTGTGTGTGTGGCAGCGAAGTGCCTATCTGCTATAATACAGACGCTGGTAAGCAAAAATTTGACAAGGAAAATAAATAAATAAAAGTTTGAAACTCACTGGAAATTCTGGAAGTACATAAGTAAAGTATTACTAGATTCGTTGCAAAGCGGTGTACCATGGCAGTCGCAAGATGAAAGCGTAAACAACAGTGCATATTCTATGAAAAGCTCACCAACAAAGTCTGCGGATACATGTATATATACAGAGATTGCATTGCTATAGTCTATGGGTATAACATACATGGATGTAAGTAGATTGTAAAAAAACGCCTATATAATATGATATATATATATATGTATGTTCAATTTATATCACAACATAGGAAAAAAAGCAGAAAAAAAGAAAAAAAAACCCCCCTAGACTAAAGATTGCTTATAAATGTTGTATAAATCAAAGGCTAACACTGATGCAGGACAGTACAAAGCATATTCCAGCAGCCTAGAGAATTATATCAACCACGGTAATATCAATAGGGAACCGGAAATAGAGAATTTCCCAACAATATTGTTCGAAAAACCCCCCTAAAACAAGGTAAACTAAAACAAAAAATGAACAGAATCCAAAAGGAAAGACACCAAAGGTCAAAAATAGTTGACTGCCAACTTCACAACAAAATTTCAACAGCATGCACAAGGCAGGTTAAAAAAGCTCAGCGAAAAAAACAAAACAAAACAAAAAAAACCTCAACAAACCAACAGAAAAACATGACAAAATTTTTTTGGGTTCTAAAACCTTAAAATAAACATAACAACAAGTTCAGATTGCAACAAGTCTGCGAGTATTGTTCGGTTGTAACTGTCTGATCACTAACCCAAAACGAAAAAATTCAACCACTCACCCCTAAGGAAGGACATTCAATTAAGATATAGGTGAAAAAAAGTTCACCTTAATGGACAAAATTCAGTAGCTCTCCGTCAGACGAAATCACCTAGTCAAGAAATGGATCCATCCCAAATCTTTCTAAAATACGAGACAAGTCAGTCTATTGGATACACATAAAATTTCCACGTACCATTTCAAATAGCATGATTTTTTTTTTTTTTTACCACTGTAATCAAAGTTCAGGTTTTAGAGGGTTCGAGAGACTGTTTCCACCCTGCCTGTCTGCCTGTCTGGGCCAACCAGGGTTGAGCGGGAAACAACGTCCCAGCAAAAAGACAGAACTACTTGACGCAACGTCCCAGCAGACTGACAGAAATATTTGCTGTTTGCTGGCAGAAATACTTGACGCAGCATCCCAGCAAACTGACAGAAATGTTTGATACATCCCAGTAAACTGACAAAACTACTTGATACAACGTCTCAGCAAACTGACAGAAATAGAAATACTTGATACAATGTCTCAGCAAACTAACAAAAATATTTGATACAATGTCTCAGCTTAACACTCCAGCAAATTGACAGAACTACTTGATAAAGAATTTACTCCAGACAAGAATTCTTAGATCCTTAGGTTTTTCAGGGAACCTGGAATAGAGAATTTCTCCCAAAATTTTGTTGGAACCCCCCCACCCCACAGAATTCTCAGGTCCTACACAGGGCAGGATCAGGAATGTACAGTCCATCTCCTTTTTCAGATTTTTTTTGTTAGAACGAGTTTTACGGCACTTCAACACAATAATCTCCATCTCTGAAAGGACGAAGCCACATGGGCTGAGAACCTTGAAACCTCCACGGGCCCTCCGGGCCAGTCTAGCACGAGAACAACTGAGTTAACAGAGCGGCCCGAGAATTGAGCCAACGTCTTGTGTGTGCATTGGTGGGGAGGAGATGCTAACAACTAGATCTACACCACAAAAGACAAGTCTTAGAAGTTCGAGTATTGAGGAGAGAGTACACGGTAGAGAGCAACCCTTACCTGTCCACACGCACACACACGCATACACACACACACCCATACATGCGCACACACACACACGCACCCATACATCCACACACACACACACACAGAGAAACCCTCACCAGTCTCCCACTATCACAAAAGGCATGAGATTCTACAGAGCTATATGAGACATCACGATACACACACACATCGTATTTATCTAGAAGAACCTACCAGTGGCACCCTCCTGCCACCCACACAGACAGAAACAAACGACAGAGGGAGAGAACAGAAGTAGGACCTACCAGAGACACCCTCCAGCCACCCGACATGATTCAGACACGGCAGAGGTACAAACAATAAAAAAACAATCAATTTGGGTAGCCCACAGCCCAGAAATATATATGTGCAAAATATTGCTTGCTGAGAACTGAGGTCCTATCCTCTATGTCGTGTACCATTGTCCTATCTGTCCGTGTGGTTTTAAGCACCCGCATAATTTAGCAAAATTTAATAATTTTTTTGCAAAATTTCTGATTATTTTCCTTTCCTATTCTTTGTTAGAATTAACAGAATCGCATAATTTCACATTTTTGGGCTCAGTTTGCACAATTTCAGAATTCTTCTTGCATAAAACGACGGGGACAGTCCTATGTCAAAATGCAAGGTTTTCAGGAGAAGTAAAAGATTTTTTAAAAAAATTTCGTGCAGGAAAATATGTTAAAATAGCACGTTTAATTTGTCTAAATCCGTTACTATTTAAAGATGAACCAATTTAGGACCAATCGATGCACCCCATCACACTCTACAACGTGCTTGATTCTCATTTGTCTGATGAATCACTGACCCAAAAACAACGACTGACAGTACCAGGTACTAAAATTATTGAGGTGACTTACACACAGTGCAAAGAAAAAAAAAAGAAAGAAAGAAAAAGCATTAAAAAAATATTGCAGCTACAAAATAAGAACACAAAAAAAGAGATGAAAATTGCAAAAAAATCTATCTGACTACTTTGCTTCAACTAAAAGCCCTCAAGGGGAAGGGAGAAAAGCACTGGAGTAATTCCCACAGTACTCCGACATTTTCCACTCGACTCAAAGGACCTATATATATACAGTGCAGCCTCTCTATACAATAACGACCTTCCATGTAACGACATCCTCTGTATAGCAGCATGGTGCCCAGGTCCCAATTTTTTTCTATATATATCAATTGTAGTATTTTTGGTTGCCTCTTTATAACGACAACTCTGTAAAGCAACATTTTTTTTCGGTCTCGACGATGTCGTTATTGAGAGGCTGTACTGTATATATTACATATATATATATATATATATTGTTGGTCAGCTGCTCCGATGTCGTAAGCCCAGCACAAGTCAGCCGGCCAAGAGATATGTCTGTGAAATACGCCTGTCTGTGTGTGTATACATATACATATATATTATATATTTCTCTATCAAGGTAAAAGATGGCTATTATCAAAAGTAAAAAGCCGCCACTACATGAAGCAACTACGAGGCAATTTGTCCGGTAGTGGTGCTGGCTCAAAGGCAAGCAGAACAAGCACCACAACTACTACTACAGCAGCAGCAACAACAGCAACAGCAACAACAACAACAGCAACAACGGCAGCAACAAGGTGAGATGATCCAGCACTAAGTGCACACAACTCTATAAACATTGACACGCGTCAAGGTTACCGAGGGAAAAGGTCAAAGAGAAAGGCCAGCGCTACCATGTGGAACAGCTATAAGCTTTCATTTCCCGCCAATATGTTAAAAAAAAAACAAATATGAAGAATTGATGTTTGAGGATACGGTAAGTAACTTGTCGCACAGGCAAGTAGTTCGTTATCATAAATGAGAAAAATAAGTAAAAAAAACAACAAAACAAAACTGCAGCGTCTCGTCAGTAGATGTGCCGAATTCTAAAACTTACGCCAACAAAATGTACAAGATGAAAGGGTGAATAACTTAACAGACTGTAAACTCAAGTATGAGAGCTCTCCACACAAATTATGTTGTTTAGAATAAGAAAAAAAACATGTACAAAAACTAAGTTTTCTTGTCAAGTCGACAATATATCGGTAGTAAAACAAACACTTTACCTCCTCTCAGACGTAGCGCCGATATATCGGTAACTTCCGGGGAACGCATTTGGAGGTTTCACCGATATACCGGCGCTTTGAACAGGGTCCAAAGTCTGTTTCGTTATTTCTATTCTATATTCTTTCGCAACATCAGTGATCATCCAACACTCAATTACCTGTCCAATGATATAGAACTGCCACAACAGCGCTTACTACACCATCTGTAAAAGCCGTTCTATCTCCATATCCGCAAAATGATTTGCGAGGTTTCAAATAAATTACAACCAATAGTTTCAACTGCTGGAGAAAAAAAATTATGTCCTGAATGAGTTACAAATAAATTACGAGCTCTACAAACAAGAACTATCTTTCTTACACGTAAAAATGTTATCGTCAGCAGTGAATTATCACAGATTCAGGCAAGGGACTTCCTCGATTGACAAGAATAAACGTTTCCTCGACAGTTTCATTTCTGCGACACCAAAAGTTTGTCCATCTCTGCTACATGAAAGTTTCCTCTTTGTGATATCAATCATTTTTTGAATAAATCTTTAAGATCTCAAACGTTTTTTTTTCAATTTTGACATATCAAAAGCTTCATCATCTTCTCAAATTTTGGAGAGACAGAAAGTTCTGCCCAACACGGTACTCTAACTAGCACTCACCACGTAAGTGCAACAAACTGCACAGCATGCGTTTCTTTGGACTCTGAGAAATCTGAGAGAGACTATCCTCAAAGGCTAGCTCAGCTCAAACCACATGGATAGACAGAAGAATAAATAGTTCAGGAAAATAAAAAGAGAAATAAAATACATATGGTCAGCAAGCTGTTCAAATGTTCTGTGCCCAGACAGCAAAATTTTCCAATAGAGAGAAAAAAAACTGTTTCATTCTTTTAACAACTGTACCTAATTCTGTATTTTTTCTTGCTTTTTTTCAACATTTAGTATTGAAGTTTTACAATAAAAACATTTCTCGAACTCATGCAACCGATGTCACAGATTTAGAAAAAGGTTAAAAAAAAACAAACTTCTAAAAAAATATGGGCTCAGTACATTTGAGCAGCTGTGTGGCGCTATACTGGTGCATACAAGTAAAACAATTCACACGACATATGATTAATTATAGGTCCATCAGCTTTCTCCGATTTTGTCCAGGAGAGAAAAAGTCTGTACTCGTTATTAAAATTTCGATCAGAAATTAGAGAAAATCTTTGTCCACGTTCCATTCCAAACAAAACTAGATATAATATGGGAAAAAACCCCGTCTTTTTTAAGCTAAAAAAAAAACAAAACAAAGAAAACAAATACTTTTTTTGTTGTTGCTTGGCCTAATAAAATAACAAGTTTGTCGTTTACAAAAATCATTCGCGGTTTTTCGAAGTGCCAAAGATGGGCACTTCGACAATGAGGATGAGAGGGGAGGCGACTGGTCCACAGAACTTTTGTGTCTGGTGTCTCTGTATAACGTAGATCTACCAACATCCACTGGAACAACAGCGGTGAACCCGATGGCTACCGAAGGGGCAAGCTCTCGGCCCATCGGTTGTTCGTCACAGCTGTCGCAGAGCTCAGATCTCCGTCTCGAAAGACACAGCCTTGACCCTCTCCTCCGGCGCCAAGTCAAACCTGCGGCAGAGACAAACAGAAAGTAGGTGGTTGGCTGGCGGGTGCTCTGGTGTGGTTTGCTCATTCTTTCCTACCAAACACCTGTTGTTCTCATCTCTCCCCTTTCTTTCCTTTGTATGTTACTTTCTAGTACCAACTCTAATCTTCAGCACTACGTGACTTAATTTTTTGCACTGATATGACAAGACTGTGTTGCAAGTACGGTAAAATTCTTACAGAAAGTTTAAAAAAAAGCGATAACAGCAGACATATGTGAGACATCGTGGTGAAATCAGACGCTCGTCAAAATAATGCAATCAAAGAAATTGGCATTTTTAGTGACACACCCAGCGACTTACACTGACCTCCCAGAGACATACACTGACACACCCAGCGACTTACACTGACCCCCCAGAGACATACACTGACACACCCAGCGACTTACACTGACCTCCCAGAGACATACACTGACACACCCAGTGACATATACTGACCACCCAGAGACATACACTGACACACCCGGTGACATATACTGACCACCCAGTGACATATACTGACCACCCAGTGACATATACTGACACACCCAGTGATTTACACTGACCTTCCAGAGACATACACTGACACACCCAGTGACATATACTGACCACCCAGAGACATACACTGACACACCCGGTGACATATACTGACCACCCAGTGACATATACTGACCACCCAGTGACATATACTGACACACCCAGTGACATACACTGACACACCCAGTGACATATACTGACCACCCAGAGACATACACTGACACACCCGGTGACATATACTG